CAAACAGCATCATGCACATAAGACCAGATAGTCGTGACCTCGAACCAATAGCAGAATTGCATCACGAGTTTCACCAAATAAGAGCACACCAAAAGTTCATAATTGACTATGCTGGTATAGTCCTGTCTCTTATACACATCTAGATGTGTATAAGAGACAGGGGTAGGTTGTGTAGGGCAGGTTCGTCTGGTAGTGCACGTAGGTCGCGCAGGGTAGTCCATGTAGGTTGCATAGGGTAGGTCGTGTAGACCAGGTGCATCCAGTCGTGCAGGTAGGTCGCATAGGTGGGCAGCTAGGTCATGTATTTGGGCCCGTCAGACGGTTTGTTTTGTTTTTTTTGTGCTCGCCTGACATTTCACGACCATGAAAACAAACCAGGTAAGAAGTGGACCACACATTAAACTGCGCAAATACAACCTATGAACAGAACTGCACAACCACCCGCACACTTTTTTTTTTTTTTTTTTTGTTAACCACCTGCACACATTCAATTCCACAGGAAGGGAGATCAAGCACCCCACACGGATGAATCTGGACAAATGACAAAGTGGCAGGCACACATCGAAGGATGGTACATGGGTGACCCTACACATCTTCACCAGCGGCTGCAGGTTAAATCGCCAGCGGGTATTCAAGGCCAGATGAACGGAGACGAAGCCGGAGAGGACAGCAGACGCATGAATATTGTCAAGAATCAACACCAGGTTAAAAGCCTGGCACGCATTCACCTCCAGAGGAGCGGACACCAAGCACGAAAAGGACAGGGCCTGCATCGAAACAGTAACCGAACTGGAAAGTATGAATCTAGACAAAGAACACAACCACCTTAACAGGCCTGCATCTAGACCAAGAACACAGCCACCTTAACAGGCCTGCATCGAAACAGTAACCGAACTGGAAAGGATGGGAAACCCGGGACCCTAAGGGCCTCGCCACACCACTCTGCATCTGGCTATGTTCTAGCGGGAAGTTCATTCAATGAACTCGCCCAAAAATGCACCCAGATTAAAGCACATTGAACAAAACACAGACCTTTGAGTCCCTTCAGTTTCTTGTTTTTTTTGTTTTGTTTTTCCCCAAGCTCAACAACGTGGATCTCCCGACTCGACAAACGGCATCGCAACACCGCACATGCATCCGGCCCTATCTCTGGACCACATGGATGGAAAACGGGCTACTCGCCAGAAAGCAACAGACGGCATCACTCCACTACACAACACCACACATGTATCTGGCTTTATCTCTGGACCAGACGCATCGAAAATGGGCAACTCACCATAACACAAAAGGCCCCACTAACAGGAAAGCACCAACCACATCCGCCAATGTTCTAAAGAAAATCAGAGAGCCCTCTGAGTCAGCCTACAAAGCCACCACAAATCAAACATACAGCACAGGACCTGTATGAAACAGCAAGAGTGCCATGAACCTCCCTCCGCCACACAACCTGCAGATTCAAATGATGTCAAAGTGCTACAGCAAAGGCCACTGCACATACCATGCCAAACTCCACAAGATCTTCACACGACCCCAGAAGCGCTACTGCTTAAAACACCCTAGAAGATTCCCCATTTCCTTCCATGTGCTCCAAAAGAGCAGCGTGTGGGAATGACACCCACAGCAAACACTCTCTGAACCTCCTCGCAAAGATATCGTGGGCAAAACTCCAAACATACATTCCCACCCTGAAAAAAACTCTTGGCCACGCATAAACAGACTTCAGTCCTGCCGGACATCATGCTCTGTCTGGGTCCGGGGGAGCCATGCAATGAACACACGTCAGGTGGTCAGACTCATTGTTGTGTGTGTGTGTGTGTGTGTGTGTGTGTGAGAGAGAGAGAGAGAAAGAGAGGCTCTGACCAAAGCAGAGCACCAGTTTTTTTTCAGCTTTTTCAAAGGTGCCATCAGAGAGAGAGAGAGAGAGAGAGAGAGAGAGAGAGAGAGAGAGAGAGAGAGGCTCCGAACAAAGAAAAGCACCTGTTTTCTTTAGCTTTTTCAAAGGTGGCATCAGCCACACCGTATGACCGTGAGGTCCTACTACTCACCTGCCATAGCGAACTGGGCTTGAAAATGACAAGTGCAGATATTCATCAAGTAGTGACAATATTTACAACCCACACACTGCTCATCCTAATCGTGAGTAGGCTCGACTTTAGAAAAGAACTGAGAGATGTGTCTGCTCCTGGAAAGACATGAGCCACCCGTGGTTCCCTGACAAACATATGAAGTTGTGCTACCATGTCGCAGGACAGACAGCATAGATTACTATCCAAATCATGCAGGAAGAGCCAATCAAGGTATCACCTGCAAATCAGAAGAAAGACAACAAACGATCGATGATGAGCAAGCGCACCTGCTGCCACCAATTCCCACAAACCTGGTCAGATGCCAGAGTCCAGCCAAGTGCTTCGCTTCTTCCACCTCCAACGTCCATCAGTGCCAACAGCACACACCACCAACGACAGGGTCCAGCCAAGTGCTTAGCTTTCTTCCATATCCAACGTCCACCACTGCCGACAGCACACGCCACAAAGGAATCTGCTACCTTGTGCGTCCATAGACACAACTCCGAGACCCGCCATTGCCATCAGACTTGCGTTGGGTATAACGAGTGCAAACAACAGTGTCCATCTGGCAAGACGGATCAGCGGACAGCTTCAGCTTAAAATCACAAGGCACAGTTTCAGAGTCGTTATAGGACGTAACCCAACATCTTACGACATGACGACAGCCACGCAGGACGTGTATGAAGTCAAAAGTACATCGGACTCTCACGAGGAGTTGGTTCCATATGTTGAGGGCTGGTAAGCTTCCACGCATTGTATTGAATTGAACAACACGCTCAGCCACTTGTGCAGGCCAGCGTCAATTCGGCCGTGCGACCATACTCCCCAGGCGGAGTGTTTAACACCTTAGCTCGGTCCCACTGCGTCCATCAGACACAGCACATCAGCAGGCATAATCATGTCAGCTCACCGGCAGTTTGCCTTTCAGCCCATCAGTGTAACGAGTCCAGCTTCGGCATTACGTGTCGACTTGGATGCATGATGCAGTCAACGGGAACTGTGAGGATGGGAAGGTGGAAGACCTGGCATCTCGAATCCGTGCCGTGCTATTGTCTATCCACTTGCCAATGTAGTCCTTAGGTCAGATCAAATAGTACGTCCTTTGTTCAGATCACATAGTACGACCCAGCGTCTATGCGGCTCTTATGCAGTTGGAATGCAGGAGAGACTAATGCCCCACAGCTACAGTGTAATCCGCCCCAGTCGAAACTTCCTAAACGTGCAGAGCACTTGTGACAACTAAGCTTCCCTCCTCTCTCTCCGTCTGTCACTCCCGTCATCCACTCCAGGGGCTCAACAAATATTGATGAACATTCTCCACATGACATCAGCTGCTTTCCAGATGCTGGACTTTCACCCAACACCGTGGTCCTGACTACACCTGCGCTGCGAGCTCTGCCGACCGAGTACTGCTGGGGCGCCCCCTTCTTCTGCCATCGGTTGACCTCGGTGGGGCCCTCACCAGGGTCATGTGGGAGCAAATTCTCTCCGGAGGCAACAACACTCCGGCACTTCCTACACCGATACAGGCACACCTCTTGAGCCCCTTTCTTCTCACCCAGGATATCAACCTTTGTCACCCGAAGTGGCACCCCCCTCACCTCATGCATGTTACCTGTACCTGGACCGAGGCCTCTGGCCTTGTGCAAACCCTGACCGTCAAGATTGGCCCGATTTCCATTGGCACCGTCAGAACCAATTTCCGCAGCTTCGCCATTCCTTGCAGCAGCCGATTCACCACTGCCTTTGCCATGTTTGGAAGGGTGGGGACCACCATTCCAATCCCCAGAAGGATACAAGCCAGTTGTTCTGGAAGCCACCATGGAATGGTCATCGACAGAGGCACCGCTGTCGCCGATCACTTGTCGAGAATGGACATCTTTACCCCCTCCATGAGAACTCGTATGATCTGTACCGACAGGCGGATGCTCACTAGCAACCCTACCCAAAGCGTTCTGGTCACCAGCACCTCCAGTACCCCCTCCCTTGATTCTTGTCTCGGTATGATGCTGTCCTGTGCCCGTCCGCTGGTCATCAGGAGCCCCATCTGGATGAACAGCCTGTGTGTGAGCTTGGGCACCCCTCGTACGCCGTCCAGCCCGTCTCGCTGTCAATGGCGGGCTCGGATTGCCACCATCATCAGGATTGTGCACTAGCTTACTAATGGCACCCTTGAGATGTTGACTCTGCTGCGGCTGTAAAACCTGCTGCTGCAGGGGTGGTGACAGGTGTTGGATTCCGCGGGTAATATGTGAGCCCGTTTTGGGGCGTGCTGTTGAGCAGGAAGAGCGGGGAGGACTCGAGTGGCTCGATGCGGGCAAGCTCATTGAAACTATGCCAGCACCACCTCGACGCTGTCCAGACTTCTTCTGACTGGTGATCTCCAGACAGGACTGCAACCCACGATGACCAGCAGCATTCGTATGATGATTTCGGATGATAACCGAACAGACCTTCGGCATGACCCCTCCGGGCAGGCCAGGTGGCGCAGGAAGTCTGGCAACTGCGCCCGCAAACCCCCACCTCCTCCTGCTCATCAACTCTAGACAGTACTTTTTGTAAGGAGGATAGTTTCGATCAAGGCAGCATCCCATTGCATGAAACAACTGCAACTGTTCCCGAAACCCCTGGTTCGGACATGCATGAGGATGCACCTTTTTCAGTGACAGAAATGCTTCTTTGAAACTCAGCTTCTCCTTCTTCATGAGGTATGCAACAACGACAGATGCACTCCGCGACACTCCAGCAAAACAATGTACAAGGACAGCATGACGCACAGGTGAGACGGACAATGGAAGAAATGTGGGAGGAGCAGGTGACGGCGGAGGCTGAGAGCTTGGTGCAGGCACTGACACAGCACCAGCTGAATCGGGAGAGCACTGATCATTTTTGTTCTCAGAGTTTTCGGATGGCAAAGTAGGACATAGAGCACTGTCGATGAAGTCAATACATTGCGGCAATAGCTGCAACAAGTTTGATGTGGGCAAGTCAAAGATAGGAACGTAGAGATTTCGCACTCGACGGGCATACGGTTCGCCTTTTACTTGCCCTGGTGATACCTCCTCCCCAACAAAAACCAATTCATTCATCTTGATCGAAGGTTGCAGAGATGATTGGCGAGCTCGTATTGCTGCCAAAGGTGCACCCATAGACAGAATATGTGTGATTGAAACATTGCCACATCGAGGTAGACACCTCTCTGCATCCTCCAAATCTCCAATACACAGCCCTGGACGCACTTGCTTCATCGTGCATTCACTTTCTGTCTATACCTTGATCAAATACCCGCTGCTATAAAACAGTGTTTCTCATCTACACACTCAGTCCTGCTAGTAAGCAACGCTTCTCATCTACCCACAAACTGTGACCTTCGACTTAGAAGGTTGTTGCTCTATCCAGCTGAGCTAAGAATGCAACTCACTACCACTAAAAGAGAAGTGGGGATGATGAACACTGCACATGGCCAAGGTAAACAGGCCGCCAGACAATGAAAACGTGCATGCATTACTGCATACACGCAGATACCTCTCTCTCTCTCTCTCTCTCTCTCTCTCTCTCTCTCTCTCTCTCTCTC